GGTAACTAATGCTCAATTGAGTGAGAAAAGTGATGAAGAACTTGATGACACTGAAGAAAAAGAAAAAGAAGATGTTGAAAATACTGAAGACGAAGAACAAGAACATGCTGAAGAACAAGAACAAGAAATACAAGAACAAAAACAAACTTTCAGATCAAACATGGTGACAATAGTGAAGCTATTACAATACATCAAACTCAGGAATGAGCATATTAATGGCTTGAAGAAAACCCCATTTTGGTTATTGTTTGATGCCATATTGAAAAAGAAGATGAATTATAAACAATGCAGAAAATATGATGACATTGCATTGAAAATAATTCAAACATACCAGCCAGGTAGCAGTGGTTCTTTCCAGTTAGGACCAAAAACTGTAAAGCTAACAACAGAAGACATCAAGTCCATCTTCGGTATATCTTGTGGAGATGAGCCGATGCATCTTGGTTATGGAAATAAAAGTATATCATCATTTCTGACAAGGAGATCCATACAAACTAAAAGGCTATCGAGCACAACCATCATAGACTTGTTGCAAAAAGCATTGAAAGACAAGAAGAAAGAAGATACTGAAGATGTGATAAGGATGTTGTGTATGTATACTTGTTTGAAGCTTTTTTTCTCTACATCAGGAACAACAGTTGGATGGGTATTTCTTAATTACATGGAAGACATAAACTCAATGAGAACATACAATTGGGCAGACGCAATAAGGAACACACTGATGTCTTCAATTGAAAAATACCACAAAAATCTAGCAAAAGTCACAGGATGTGTTATGGCTCTCTTAGTAAGTACATCTTTACTCTATTCTATTAGGCCCCGTTTGTTTTCAGAGGTAGAATGGAGGAGATTATTAGTGAGGGGACTGTTAGTGAGGGGACTAATAGTGAGGGGATTAAGAAAATTGTGTTTGTTTGATAACCAATAGACTAGTAATAGTTCATGTTTGTTTTGAGAGATAGGAATAGGATTAACCATGTGAAATTCCACAAATACCCTTTTTACATTATTATCAAATTTAGACTTATAACAACTAAAGAATAAATAAATTTTTACTCAATGTTATTCTTCTTTTTTTTTCTTTTTTTTTAAATTATTAAAGAAACCAATTATCAAAAAAAATTTAGTCAATGTTATTTATTTATTTATCAATATTAGTGAATCCAACTATCAATAAATTTGTAGTCAATGTTATTCTCTTTTTTTTTTTCTTCTTTATTTATTTATTTATTTATTCTTTTTTGTAAATATTAAATAATCCAACTATCAATGTTATTCTCTCTTCTTTTTTTATTTTTTTATTCTTTTTTGTAATTTTTTTATTTTTATTCTTTTTATTAAATAATCCAACTGAAAATAAGATTACATTTCATCCTCTTCAGCTTGAAGCATGGGCAGTATAGCTTTGCACACAGCATATTTTTCTTCTTGAAATTTTTTCATAGTCCGATTTTTTTTTAAATATATATAGTTCGATTTTTTTCGATTTTTTTTTTTATTTTCAATTTTTTTCATAGTTCGATTTTTTTCTTCTTGAAATTTTCTTCTTAAAATATATATAGTTCGATTTCTTTAAATTTTTTACATGAATATGTTTAATAAATAAATAAATAGTTCGAATGACTGAAAGTCGAATGAGAAAATAGACTGAAGTACAAATAAATCTTTGAAATTGAATCATTAAAACTGTCAGTATACAACATGCATAAATTTCATACAGAGAAGGCCTAAACTCCACAATCAGAAATGACCCTTCACATTTAGAATAGGTGATTTTGGCAAAAATTTGCAATAATGAGTTAATTAAATGAAGAGAACTCTTCTGACCCAAGGCCGAGATCACATTTATATTGCATCTTACAACAGGCCGAGATCACATTTATATTGCATATTACAACCTAATGCATTCTGCAGCCAACTTGTCATTAGGTTGCATATTACAACCTAATGTATTGTGCCTCCTTGAGGCCATCACCACTAACTTCTGACTTTTCAACCTGTTCACTTCTTGCAAGGTCCACCAAATTGAGGCAACTGCGAAGAATACTTCCATATACATCTTTACCGTGCACATGTATTGTCAAGACACTGCAAAATAAACAATTAATGTAAATCGACTTTTTCATCAAATTTAATAGATGAAAAAAATAAAATAAATATTGGACCTGTGGGAATGACTACTTTGGTTGTTGATGGCAGTGGAACTGACAACACGATTGAGATCACCTCGTTTCATCACGCTAAGAACATTATTGGTGGATTCCACATAATGCATTGAAGCATCAGGAATACTCAAGCCATTTTCACTAGTACAGCTTTGAATTTCTAATTTGCTGATAGTCAAGAATACAAAAATTTGGCAAATGAATAATTAAAGTGGAACAAAAAGTACACTTTTTAAACAAGGAAAGCAATTTAAGTGCCGAGAGGCAGAAAATTGATGTGCCAAGTGGCAGAAATGCAACTGCAAAAGGATATTTTGTGTTTGCAAAAAGATATATTTGACAATCAACAATAAATCATGGAGGAAAATAGGAGGAAAAAAAAACACTTGCATCTGAAGCCAAATCAGAAAAGAACCTCACCATAGTATGTGTTTTTCCAGATCCAATTTGACCATAAGCAAAAATGCATACATTGTATCCATCCATTACAGACCTAATTACTGGTTGAGTGTCCTTAAATATCTCATCTGTTGGGGGGAGGGGAAATGATTATTATGCCAAGTGAAGATAATTCACAAAATTGGTAAAACAGAAGAATCTGCGTATTACCTTTAGTAGTAGTTTGTCCAAACACATGATTGAATTGAAAAACTTTCCTCCCATCTTTTTGGGGTTTCCATGGGTCAAGAACCACTAATGACCTATCTTCTCCAATAAAATCTATCACATTTCTTGTTTCGGCACTGAAGGCAGGTCTAATTCTGCAATAAACTCGAATATTCCCTGAAGAAAATTTTCAACCATGATAGAGTAAACACACTTGGTTTATATGCTTTGTAGTTTATCTTTAAAAGAAAAAAAAAAAAGCAAGACTGATAATTTCATCAAAACAGTAAATGGTTGTTATTCAGAAATTAACCAACCTTTTAAATCCTGAACCATGTTGTATATGTTCCTGTTCTCTTTTACAACGTTGACATAGTTCTGCCATTTTCTAGATAGTACATATCAAATATATACACAAGTAACACAAACTAAATGCCTCTATCTGATTGGATGTGTGTGACCATCTTGTTAGGTACAGGAGATATCAAATATATACACAAGTAACACAAACTAAATGTCTCTATCTGATGACTGTGGAGATTAACCTGTAACAAGCATCAAAACCTCAGAAATAAGTTATAGTATCTAACACACAGGAGTTCCAAACCTTTTCCTGATGGAAAAGAAGTTCCAACACCCTAGCACCAACAGCATAGCCTGCATTGTCCAACCTGCCCCAATCCAAAAACATTAGAGAACGCCCACACTGGAATGTATGATCCAATACAGTTCAATTACGCAGTAACTTAATTAAAATATAACAATCAGCTACTAAACAAGTTTGTTCTAGAATAAACCAATGTATGGAACTACTTCAAGTTATTAACATTAAACAGACGCAAGTGGTCTCCACAATTCAACTAAATTATATAAAAACATGGGACACCCACCAGTGGCGTAGTTAGGAATTTGATGGAGAGGGGGCACAAATTAATGATAACATCAGTGTGTTTGGTTTGAGTTTTTTGAATTAAGTTTTTTAAAAATTGAGTTTTTTGGTTTTCGTATTTTTTTTGTTTTTAGTGAATATTTTTTAAATTTTAAAAATATTTTTTTTTACTTTTTTAGATGAATTTTACTTAGATGTATTTAAAAAATTTGTGAAAAAATATTTTAAAAATTTAATAAATACATAAAAATACAAATAATGTACAGAATTTTCTTATAATTTTTTTTTTTGTATTTTTTGTATTTAGTGAATTTTTAAAAGGTTTTTTCACAAATTTTTTACTTTTTAGGTATATTTATATTAGATATGTCTAAAAATTAAAAAAATTCAGTAAAAATAAATAAAAAAAACCCGAAAAACAAGAAAGTAGAATTTTTTGAAAAGTATTTTTGGAAAACTCTAACCAAGCAAATTTTAATTTTTATTTTTATAATAAACAACAATGAGATATTACTAAACTTAAATATTAAGAGTCCATTTGGATAAATGTGAATTTTAAATTATAGGATTTGAGATTAAATTTTATATAAATATTGGGGAGTAACTATTTATAGGTAGATTGAAGAATTAAAAAAGAAGATAAGTTGAGATAGAAATAATATATTTTAGTAAAGAAATTCTATAAAACACACCATAAAAAAAAGTGTTTATCATATGTCGTAATTATGATTTTCGTGGGCTTTAGATATGACACATTATAGTGTTAGATATAATTTAGTTATAACTTCTTGTGGTTCTTATTTTGGCTATTATTATATATCAAGTAATAGTTAGTTATGACTCATTTTGATATTAGTTATGACTCATTTTGATATTAGTTATGACCTATTGTAATTTTTTACTTTTTTTTATAATTGAAGATGTGTTACTTGATTATAATTTATATAGTGGTCATTTTAGTTATGAATGGAAAAAAACATATGGAGGACAAACTCTACATGTCAAATGTACGTAACAATCCAATAAATTTCACATATCTTCATTAAGGTTAATTCTGTTTGCATGTCAATAATTATAGATATCACCATTATATTGAAATTTTTATAAATAATAATATAACTTATCATAGTCTCTTTACTTTCAATCAAAATAACCATTATTGTTCTCATAATTTTAAAAATATCATTGACATTTCACTTTAAATAATATTTTTATAAATTTTTTTTATGTAAAATATTTTCTTTATGTTCAAAAAAAAAAAATTTCCAAAATCCCAGGGGGGGCACGTGACCCCCCTGGGCCTTGAGTGCCTCCGCCCCTGACACCCACAGTGGTCAGAATCACAAGAAGCAAAAGTAGCATATTATGGCTCTTTCAAAAGTAGCAGAGAGTAGCATACAATACAATACAGTGCAGCCCAACACAGGAGCAACATGTAAACATATTGCAAGCTACAAGAACCAGTCTTAACCAGTCCAACATAGGAGCATCATATAAACATATTGCAAGCGACAAAAACCAGTCTTAAACAGCCCAACACATGAGCAAACAAAAAGAAACCCATCATACAAAAAGACCATCATATAGTAGATGCCACATTCAAATATGACCTTCCAATAGCAAAGAAACCCACTCCATCTTGTCATTCTCATCTAAACTGAAGAACAAGTCAACTTTGTCTTCATCTTTCACTATCATAGATGCTGCCATCAATCTTTGGGTATTACTCATTAGCAACTTTAGAAGTTCTGCATTAACCAACCTCCTTTGTTGGGATAGGTCATGTGAATATCCTATCCTATGAGCCATCTCCACCATCGTAGTATTAGTATTCTCAATGAATGATCCAAGATTTTTTGCCATCTCTGATAGTTCAATGGGAATCCCCTCAGCAGGTCGAGCCCCTTTTTTTCCAGTTTTAGGAGAGTCAGACGGTTCTGCAGTAGACATTGAGTAGTCTGTATCATCACCCATGTTCATACTAAACTGTTCAACAGGAGACTGTTCTCCTTCTTCTGTAGTTGCATTTGCATCCTCATTTTCTATTGCTGCAACTGCATCAGCAGGATCCTCAGCTAGTTCACCGGTCGCCCTATCCTTCCCAAATAGAATAAGCCAATCTTCATAGAACGGGAATGGCTTGTTTCGCATCCCTTTTGCAGCCGACACCTTCTACACAAGTGATTATCCAATTATTAAAAAGAATAGATTGATTTTAAGTACAAAGACATGCAAATAACAACATAAAATGAGATTTACCCTGACATAGTTCTGCCATACGTCGTCACTATCAACAAGCACCATCTTTTGGTCATCATCCCAACCAAAACCACTTATCTTTAACATATCTTGAAGAGTGTTATATTGTTTCCTCCACAACTTAATCTTCGAGTCGATGTGAGGAGTGGCTCGAAGATCAGTTCCAGGAAATGCACTTAAGATCTTTTTCTCACATTCATTGTAGAAGCTTGCCCTAAACTGATTATTCAAGCTTCCACCTGGGATTACTTGCAGTTACATCTTTCATGGTTGTAATGAGGAAGAGTTCCTCACGGTGATTCCAAAACCTTCGAGGTTTCCCCTTCTTACGAGAACTAGTGGTACCTGTGTCATCCATACTTATATATATATATATATACATATATCATAAGTTTAAATCATAACGCACATGTCAATCATAAATAACAAATCAACTTACAGAATATTTGTTACAAATACCACACAAAAACTAAACAAATATGGTTCGAATTACATGCCATAATAAACTCTCACTATTACATAAAAATCATCATACAACACTAATTTATTGACCTCTGCTTACTTGCCATTCATTAAACATTTGGGTTACCAAGGCAGTTCTCCATTCACTCCATTGATCAGATGCTTCAACAACATCAATCATTTCATCTCCTAATGCAATAGCTGGAGGAGGAGGATTTATTTCCTGGTTCTCATCATCGTCAAGATCCATAGGCATTTCACGTTGTATGAAATTGTTGAGAAGGCAACATGTAGTGATAATACGAAATTGAGTCTTGATTGGAAAGTAAGAATAAGTCCTCAATATTGCCCACCTCATTTTAAGTAGCCCAAAACACATCTCAATGACGTTACAAGCAGAAGAGTGCCTCATGTTAAAAAAACTCTTGTAGAGTTGTTGGGGCACCCCCTTCTCTCCATGTGGAAAGATGACAACACTGTCCTCTATATGGTGCAAGAAAACGCTCCCCATTTGTGTAACCCGCATCTACGAGATAGTAGTGACCAGTAATTATGTAAGATGGTTTTATTGTGTATGTACAAAAATAATTGTTTAATATAGATATAGTATACTTATATATATAACAACATATATAATTATCATACCAGTAGGCACTTTCAACCCATTAGGTTTACTGACAGCATCTCTAAGTACCCTAGAGTCAGAAGTAGATCATTCCCATCCAGGTAAGACATATATGAATTGCATGTCTTGTGAGCACACACCCAATACATTTGTGGCAATTTCTCCCTTTCTCGTTCTATACCTTGGTTTGTTTATTGCAGGGGCAAGAACCTTAACATAGGTTCCATCTAAAGCACCAACACAATTCTAAAAAATAAAACAATATTATAAAATTAATATAGGTAATAGAAAAATATAATTCGCTAATTAAGCCAAGTTGTAAATATATTATACTTGAAAACAACTCCATCTATCATCTGTACAATTAGCAGTTATTGGTTCAGGCTTCTTAAGGAGGAGACCATAGAGGCGCAACACAGCCTTGAGAACATTATTGAAGTGCTTACTAACTGTTTGACCACTACGCATGAAATTAAATTTAATTTTGCGGTTCTTAATATGATGTGCAAGCACATTCAAAAACATTGCAACTTGCTCCTCTAAGACAACATATTTTGAATCAGACAATCCAACACTTCGCACCAACCCACATAAAAGCATGAAAGTACGCCTATTCATCCGAAGTTGGTCATGACAATTTATGTCACTATCGTTGACCAATCTATTCAAATGGTCAATTTGTTTTCCATAGGGGTGAGGTGATCTAGGTAGTTGCAACCTAATTTCTTTCTTCTTGAATGCAGCATGTAAAATCACTATATACATAGCACATGCATAATTAATGGATGAAACAACATGTTGGAGGCCTACAAATTCCTCTATAAGGCCCTTTCTCCTTTTCTTAGTGGCATAATTATTATCCATCTACAAAAAATGAATAAACAATAAGCGGCTAAACTTAGCACAAAAAGTAGAACATCATATGCAAAAATTAGATTTATAAACATCATATGAACATCATATGCAAAAGTTAGAACATCATATGCACAAAAAGTAGAACATTATACTCATTTCAAAAAAAAAAAAAAAAAAAAAAACTCTGAAAACTACAATCAACATATATGCAAAAATAAAAACAAAAAACATGGTCTGATTTGACCATTTTAATAACATTAAAAAAAAAAAGAATTTCTAACACAGATCAAGTTGTTAGATTCTTGACATTATGGATTTTATCCCTACGTTCATCTGTCACTTTACTTTGTTCAAACAAGCTTTTAACATAGTTCCTTAGCAAAACAACAATACATCACAAATTAAAAACTGATGGTGAAAACTCAAAGGGATAATTTTTTTTTTTAGTATTATCATGCAAACTTATAAGAGGGTAGTTAGGTTTAATAAACTTACGCAACCCGTGTGATGACCTAGACAAACTAATCTTTAATTAAAAAAATAAATGACCTAGACAAAATTTGAAACAAATGATTTGACCCATAAAGAATTTGACCCTATTGCTTTGTTGAACATAACTATGATTCTTTTGAGGTTCAGTTCCTATTGCTTTCTCTGTATTGATTTCATCTATTCCAAAAGTGTCTTTGGCAAGTTCTACAACTTGTTCATGGCAAGATAAATTAAAACTATCTGAAAATCAGAAGAAAAAAAGTCACGCAGGACATTAAAAATCAGAGCAGTACATGAAAATGCAATAGATCATGTAGTAATAATTAATGCACATGGATTGTGCTGAGGTGAAAAGGAAGCTGATCAATATTAAAAACTCTAGCAGTAAGAAATGAGCAAGTGCAAATGCCTATCACCAGTTCCATCAAAAGATTTATTGTGCCTAGATCTATTTTGCTACTTTAACTTCAGAAAAAGGGAGCAGAAAAAGTGCCTCTAAATGGACTTTGATCATAAAATACCAACCAACATGAGTGGGAATTTTTGAGACAAACATTTAGCTACCATGCTTACAGAATACTTGGTGGTCAACAAATAACATAACATTTTCCGTTGTTAAAAAAAAAAAAAAACGTAACAAATAACATAACCATCAAAAAAAAGTGTGGGTGAATTGTGGAAGCAAAGTTGTTAAGATGAATGCAAACAAATAACATAACATTTCCGGTGTTCAAAAAAAAAAAAAAAACATAACAAATAACATAACCATCAAAAAAAAGTGTGGGTGAATTGTGGAAGCAAAGTTGTTAAGATGAATGCATGGTGGTACAAGAAAAAAATTCCAATAAAATATGAATGCATTTCATTAAAGATTGCATTGGCACCTACTACAAGGGCATGATTTGATTCAGGTCGAAAGAATAGCTAGAACAAGAAGAGGGCAAAAAAGGGCCCAAGTTGACATGGGAAGAAAAACAAAAATGACATGGAAATTAAATGAAATTATATAACACTAAATGGAAAAAACAACCAAAGAAGAAAGAAAGAAAGAAAAAAGGGAACAACAAATGAAATGAAATTATATAACATTTGTTTCTACCAAAAACATACATCCTCATTACAAGGATTAGTTTAAGTGGGTATTTTGCAGATAAAAAAGTTATATATACAGAGAATATATTAAATGAAACAGAAAGAATGAGGGCAAGTTCTTAATTACAAGGATTAAGAAGCAGCCAATATATTTCTACCGAAAACATACATCTTCAGAGAGGCCATAAACTATTACAAGGATTATTTTATCATATACATGAAAGACCCAAAGAAACCCAAGACATCATCCATTACTAGCATATAAAAATTCTACATTTTGAACGTAAATAGAGTCTTGTTTCAACATAGGAAATAAACATTTAAAACTAAAGTTCCATATGGTTTGCAAAAAAAAAAAAAAGAAGGGAATTTGGTGTTCCATACTCCCATTGACTTTGCTAGTAAAAACAAAACTTACAAACATCAAGTAGAATTAAGCACAATCAAATCAAGGTTGAAGTTTCTAAGTTCCAATTCATCGGTATTTTAATTCAAATATTAGTTTCTTTCCTTTTCCTGTAATTTTTTCAGCAAATTAGCTCACCAAAAATTTTCTAAGTTCCAAAATTTTTTAGTTTCTAAGTTCCAAAAATATTAGTTTCTAATAATCTTTAATTTTTTCCTGCAAGTTCCAATTCATTGGTATTTTTTCAGCAAATTAGCTCATCAAAGATTACCTTTCATCAAACATTATGGTAAAAATAATTCAGAATTTTGAGCTGAGGCTAAAAAAAACAGATTTACAAGCTTGTGAGGTGTTTGATAGCAAGGCTAACTTTAGAAACTAAATTGATACCAGATTTACAGATTTAGAAACTTTAGAAAATCTGTTAATCTGGTTTTTATTTTTTTACAATCTAGTTTCTAAAGTTGAGGTGTTCGATGGCAAGGCTAACTTCAAAAAATCTGTTAATCCCACAATCTAGTTTCCTTGTAAATCTGTTCATACCAAATTCGTAGTTAGCACCGTATCAAAAAATGATAGAAATCCCCCTAGTTGTTAGAAAATGTAAGCCCCAATTTTCCAAGCTTGACTATATATAAAGCACATCATATTCAAAAACTAGATTTACAAGGACAACCCAACTTGATATGAACAGATTCCCACTGTTCACTATGAATTTGGTGCTAACTTTAGAAACCCATTTACAAATCATAAACCACAAAAAAAAAGCAGGGTATAATTTGGGGTAGAGAATCTGATAGTGGGATTAACAAAAAATATAAAATTACCGATGTAGCAGATGCTCAGCTGAATCTAGAGAGCTTGCTGTACTGAGATCGAAAATCTGATATGAGAGAGCTTGCTGTACTGAGATTGAAAATCTGAAGAAGAAGAAGAGCTTCTCTTTGCCTCTCCCTTTTATTGCTGCTGCTTTGATGAGTTAGGGCTAGGGCAACAATATGGGTAAAGAAGTAAATCACACTCCTAATACTAGCAGACTAACTTTGAATACCAAGTTTTGGGGCAAACTGTGAATCCCCTCTGCAAGGCTTGTATGAAGCCGTTCGGCTTTTCAATCCATCCCTCACCTCTGTAAACAACAGGGTATTAAATGGAACCCACAACTATCTTAATCCCAATCCTCATCTTATCCTCCAAAATAAACGGAGCCTTAATTTGTTGTTAATAACAGATAGTATTATTTTTTATTCAAATGACAAAAATTCTTTACGTTTGCTTTGTAGTATTGGTTGTGTGAGCACACACTGATCATCCACCCTGAAGTTAGCGAAGCATGCCCAAGGGTGATCAAGTGGAATCTTATTAAATTACATAAATGTATGAAAGTCATATCATTACATCAACTGACAACAAGACAGGTCATATCCTCATCTCATTTGAATTTCAATTCAAGTTGGGAAAAATCCTTATTTTTATACACTGAATTATTACTGAGAAACTTTTTAGTTTCCTAAACTTCAATTATTTCAAAAACTAATATCTATTGTATGTTGACCTACAGGTAACTAGTGCTTAATTGAGTGAGGAAAGTGATGAAGAACTTGATGACACTGAAAAAGAAGAAAAAGAAGATATTGAAAATTCTGAAGACAAAGAACTGAAGAACAAGAACAAGAACAACAAAAACAAGATGTTGAAAATACTGAAGAAGAAGAAGAAGATTCTGAAGAAGATGATGATAAAGAAGAAGAAGAAGAAGAAGAAGATGGTCAATATGCTGAAGAGTACCACCAAGAACAAAAGCCAGCAAATGAAGACTTTAATGACTTCTGCAACATTGTACTCAATGATGCACCTGAGGGAGAAGAACAAATTCATCAACAAACACTTATGAAACTTAAAACTGAGAACAATAATTTGCAACTTGACAACACAGTGAAAACCATCTACATAAATAAACTTGAAGAGGATAACAGACTATTCACAACACAAATACAACAATTGAAAGATGAAAATTCTCGATTGCATAACCAATTGGTTAAAAAAGAGGTCCATGAGATAACCCAAGAAGTTTGTGGAGTAAAACATTCTGGGACAGATGCAAAGAATGAAGGTCATACAATAAACGATGAAAATTCTCAAGTACTGCAGAAAGAGGTCCAGGAAAATTCTGAAGTGGTGGACAAAGAGCTCCATCAGAAAGAGGTCTATGAGATAACATAACAACCTTTTGCAACAAAACATTGTGAGACAAATACAAATGTGAAAGATTGTCAAAATTCTCAGTTGCAGAATCAGTTAGTGGAGGAAGAAATCTATGACTTAACCCAACAAGTTTGTGCAATAAAAGCCGATGATCTGATAGAATCAAGACAAACAAATCTATAGAATTCCATGATTAAAAATATCAAAGCTAAAGCAAGGAAGACTGCTGAGATATCAGATTATGAGTATAGAGGCAAGAAAGTTAAAGTTAAGAAAGAGAAAGAACACAAAGATGAGACAATTTCAAATAAGTATCATGTGGCTCAATTGTTACCTCCTGAAGATAAGTATAAACTACAAATTCTTTAGAAAGAAAAGCAAACAGAATCAAGGTATAATCTTACATAAATCTTTCAATTTTTCATGTAGTACAAATATACGAAATGAAACTGTAAAATAGCTCTGTTTTCTAAAAATATTTTGACTTAATTATTAACACATTTTTTATTGTTTTGTAGTATTTGTATATGGTTTGGCGCAAGATATGAAAATTGTGTGTTTATTAATGATATCAAGAACTTGGTAAAAGGGACAGACATATCCAGCTGTGTACGTATAATATTTGTAATATTTTAACACCGAAAAACTTCTCATTAATTTGTTAACATCACTTTTGTGTTTCAATTTGATAGACAATTGATGCATATGCTGAAATTCTTGAAAGAGAACCACAAGCACAAAATTCTGGTGATGGAGCAGAGTAAAATGGCAAGTCTTTCATACTATCAAGTCTATATTGGGTAAGGAATAAATATGCATGTGTCAATTCTATACTTTATCTTTCGTTCAATTTTGGTTTCAAAGTAGATTTTTTGTGTATGTTATCATTGTTGTGAATGTTCTCAAATTTTGATTTTGGTATCATTGCTGGGAATATATGCAGATTTCAAAACAATTTGAGTGATAAATCGTAGTTAATCATGTTTTGTTGCTTTTCATCGACATTTGAATATTGAGTTCGTACCATTACTGTGAACATTCACATATTTTTTGTAAAAAATAGCCAATGTTAAAGAAGAAAACTTCAGAACAAAGGAAAAATATTTTGAAAAATATTTTTCAAGAATTGCTCCCATGTAGATACATCCATATCCCCATCCACAATTTCAATCATCGGACATTACTTGTTATCGACAAACACTTGGGGACTTGGAAACATTTCAATTCTTTGAGACCAAGAAAAGGAAAGGACAAGCACTACAACGTTGCAAATCAACTGGTAAGAACAATTTCAGATTACCATTACAATAATCAGAAGTAAATCATTACATACTTTATATTGATGTTTTTTACAGCAAAAAATCATCCATCAATACATGAAGGATACACGTTGTCAAGCAGAAAAAGCATGGAATCCTGATGTCAAGATTGAATCAGTCAAAGACAGCCCTCAGGAAGAAGCAATGGCGTATGTTAATTTATTATAACTAACAAATTTTAATATTTTTTTCAAAAAATTTTGTTTTTTCCCTAACTGTGTTAAAAATGATTTCTGTAGGAATGACTGTGGAATTATTGTTTGCTACATCATAAGACAATACATGAGGCATCAACCAATTCCAAACACATTACCACCAGGCACATCCACAAGACTCAGAGCAGATATGGTACATGAGTTCCTCAGTGATCCACAAAGATCAATCAGAGTCAAGTAGAGTCAAGATTGCAACATTCAATGAAATCTTTTTTGATGTGTAACTCAATGAACTCTTTTTTGTAATACTCTGATACAATGACTAATGTTTTTGTTCATAGTTCCAAGCATATGGCCTAACAAACATATTACAATTTCTATGATGTGTAATGGAATATTTTGTCATACTCTCAAAGATATATGCACCCGAGCTTTGTTGATGTTTTTGTCCATATTCTCAATTTCTATTATCTTGTTCCTCACACTATTATATGGGAAAAGTGAAAATAGTATTACATGTGAAAATAGTGGATTTTTTTCCATGTTCTCAGTGCTTTGTTGATGTTTTTGTTTATATTTTCAGTTTTTATGCAGTGTTTTGTTGCCTCAATATTATCACAATCACTTATTTTCAAATTTAAAAACTTTAAAACTGAGAATATTTTTAGTTTTATACAGATCACTCAATTTTCAAACAACAATATTATCACAACAATTTATTTGCAGCCTCACAATATTATGACATTGAAAAACTAAAATTCGAAATAAAGAATATTTTCACTTTCAGTCCACTGTTACTTTAATCAAAACATAGAGCATCGACCACATCTATTTAGAATATTAATTCACATTCATTCAATTGATCACATTTATAACTAGTTCCAATTCATAACAAGAGCCTCACACTATTATCACAAAATCAGCTATTTTGAATTAAAAACTTAAACTGAGAATATGTTCACTTTTTATACAGTATTCACATAATCTTCAAAACAAACATTCAACAGTCAAGTTTATTTACGAAAGCCAACCAAACAATATTAACACAAACAATTTCAAAAATTAAAATTTGAAACTAAGAATATTTTCACTTTCAATTCAATGTCACTTTATTCAAAACATAGAAGATTATTACTCAGCACTCAACAGTACAAACTGCTACTTCAAGAAATTTATGAATACGAAATTTTTACAATCACAAAGCAGCTACAAAAAATCATAAAGCCTCCTTACACGATTTCTTATTGTGATTGCCAACCTTTCCACATCTACTACAAGTAATTTGCCTTACTTTCTCACCATTCGAACGAATCCTCTTCTTATTTGGCCTTCCTGGTTGCTTCTTAGACAAAGGAGGAAGAACAACTTCACTATCACCATCAACATTACAATCTGGTTTCCAAATTGAAGGAACATGATATATGGGAAAAGAATAGGACTCTTGATAACTTTGAATATAGAAGTATTGATCAACAAATAAACTTAAATCATGTCCACTCTTTTGTATAGCACCAACTGCATGTGTACATGGAAACCCTTTCAACTGCAACTCGCCACAAGAACAAATTCGTCTACTAATGTCAACTGAAACAGATGGATGTGAATGCACCTCATAGACATCATTTCCAAATGAACTAACAATCCATGGCCTCGAAGTATTAAAACCATCATGCAACTTGGACACCATTTTAGGGCATATCAAACCATTCCATTTATTAACAAGTTCCCTCCTCTTAGCAATTTTTCTCATCAACTTAATTCTTACACTATCAATCAACTTTGTGATAGGCAAGTGGCGTTCCTCTTGTATCCACGAATTGAAAGATTCAGTTACATTTGACCATATCTCTCCAAAGCGTTGCCCTCGAAAATATGCATTACTCCAATGATCATATGGTATGTCATCTAAAAACTTTTCAACTCTTGACCCATCTTTAGTCTTTAACTCAACCAAACATTGATGAAATGTTTCTTCAGTTGGAGCATATGCACATTTCCCAAACAGAGTGATCAGCTTTTCTTTCAATCCATAAAACATACCACGCAAATGATGCCTCAAGTTCATCTTCAAATGATATAAACAATAAGCATGGACAGCCATTGGGAAAACCTTTGGCAACACTTCAACTAATCCAAGGTTACGATCTGACACAAATGTAGTATTTCGTTCTGGTGAAACAATTCTACTCAAATGCTCCAAAAACTAACGCCAGTTATCTTGATTCTCTGAGCCAACAACTGCAAAACAAACAGGAAAGAACCCTGCATGTACAAAACAGAAAAAACGAAAATATTCTATTATTCTTAGAAAATGGTAACACTTTAACATTCAAAATATCAAACACTAAAATGAATAACTAAAAAAATAAAAAATGCATATACAACAACAATATTATATAAAATTTAAAACATTCAATCATATTTCTAAACTGAGAACTTTCTCAATTTCAGAACAGAGAAAACAGATTTCTTATGTACCTTGATTTCCATCTTTTCCTGTAGCAACAAGTAAATTTCCTCTAAATCTTCCCTTCAAAAATGTGCCATCAAGGAATAAGAGAGGTCGACAATAATTAAATCCACTAATGGAACAATGAAAAGAAACAAATAATCTCTTAAACCGTTTAGTATCATCGTCACACTCAAACTCAATGTAGCTCCCTGGATTGCAACTCTTTGCAACATCCACATACCATCTTAACTGGTCAAATGACATTAAGTAGTCTCCAAAAATCTCACCTTTTGCTTTCTCTACCCCTAACCAAGCTTGATGATAACTAACTCTCAGCCCATACCCAAACTTAAAATCCCGAACAACATGAACTGGACGTGTCAATGGATTATCACGAACACCTTCAACAATCAAATCAGCAACTAAATCAGAACTCATATGAGGACGATTCATCATACGTACTTCAGCACTACATATGCGGACATTGTTCAACTTCCTTATATAAAAAAACCCATTAGCATTCTCCACTCTACCATGAACATTCCACATATAACCTTTTGTCTCTCTAAACAAACATTGTGCGGTAACACGAACTTTATCATTTTTAACAAATATGAACTCAAATCCACACTCAATAGAAAACTCCACCAATTCATTACGAAATTCAACAATTCTACCTTCAAATTTCTGTCCTACATTTGTAATAATAACTGCCTAACCAGCAGATAACAGTACTTTTTCCTTGTGTCGACAAAATGATGATAACATATCAACCTCTTCTTCAACCTCCAACCTCGAATTCCTTTTGGAGGATGTAGATGCTCTGTTTGACAAGTTCATAGACTTACTGCTGTAATGAGACAATGCAATATCACAAACTTCAAGATCCAACATTGACTCTCTTTCTCCATAATCCAATCTTTTGTTGAGATAACCACAGTCAATGGTTGAGTCTTTTACTCTCACAACAACATCAATACCCTTTGAATCAAAATGCATAACTAATGCCAACAACAAATCTAACTCCTCATTGTTGTCCAACGTACAATTAGGATGTCCAGGCAACGAGTAAGATAGACAAATATTATCAGATTGCAAATTATCCCATTTCAAACATAGCTTCTCAACCAACTGATCATATGTAACATTTTGATCAATCTTAATTGCAAATGTGCAACCATTATACTTGCACAACAAAAAAATAGGCACACTCGTACAACCTTCACTCATCTTTCAATCTAAACAAGAAAAAAAGATCGCATCAATAAAAACCAGAACAAATACTTCATAACAATACTAAGAACTTTCTCAGTTTTCACAAATACTTCATAACAAAAAGTACCAGAACAAAAAACTTCATAACAATACAAATATTTCACAAATCACGTTTTCAATTCATAAAATAAATAACCAAACCGAGAAATCATCCAGCAAATCACGTCTTCAATTCGTAAAAACAAAATTATTCAACATATTCTCATAAATAAATTCAATCAAAACTAAAGAAAATTCTAAAAAAAATAATATACAAAATCGAAACAATACATACCTATAAACCAGATCGAAGATCAAATATCGAGCAAATCAATTCTTCAATTTATAAATCGAAATCGCACATAACAAACTCCAATAGATTTCAACTCAAAAAGCGAACCAAACTAAGAAATCCTTCAAGATCCTTTCCTATTCGAATCAAAATCGAGAAATCAATTACGTATAATAGCGAACCAAAGCAATAAATCCTTCAAGATCGTTCACAATTTGAATCTTCAGCTACTTCCATAACTGATCTGTAAACTGATTTCTTTTTTTTTTTCTAGTAAATAGCGTGAATGGAATTTTATATACAGTTGTTCATGTTAAAGGGCAAACGCGTCTTTATACCTACAAATGGGCCTTATTGGTTCAAAATTTTTTTAATAGGACCTAAGCTACAACCAAACATATTGATAGGACTTTTAGGTAATTATCTCAATATTTTATTATATATAATTGACATCTCTAACATAAATGCAAATCTCTAACGTAATATTTTTTTATTTAGTTTTGCAATTTAGCAATAAACTCGAAAAAATTTAAAAATGAAAGGTTATAGTGAAACTTAAAATATGAAGGGTCAAAGTGGGATTGGGATTGGGATTGGGATTGGGGTTGGGGGAGGGGAACTTCAAAGAACAAATTGAAAAAATGACCAAAATAAATGGAAAAAAGTGTAATTTATCTAAATGAATATAATAAAATTATGTCATTAATTATAATTATTGGATTTTTAAATTTTTGTTTTTGTTTGTTTTTACCGATGATCTACATAGAACAATCTGCTGATTGAAGTGAGTCCATAACAAATAACTGGATTGTCTAGTTCATTTTGAGGATTGAAAACAACTCCAATCTAAATTTGTTTTCAAAAAACTTTCCCAAAAACAAAATTTCAAACAAAATTTATAAATAAATTTCATTTTTTTTCAATGACCAACAATAGAAAAAAAGAAAAAAAAAAAAAAACTACCAAATACGCTTTTGAGTAGCAGTTTGGTTATGTTTTTGTTTTCATTGTTCATTTTTTCTAAGGAAAATTAAAAAAAAAAAATTAATGTTTGACTATTGTAACAAAATAAACTCCAAAGTTTTAATTTTATTAATTTAAATCTCAAACTTTTGATTTATTTTAATTTAACTATCAATCTATTTTCGTTGAGTTTAATGACTAAAATGTCATTTTTCATCAATTTTACTTAACAAAAATAGACTAATTGTTTAGGTTGAAAAAAAATCAAAATATTAGAGTTTAAATTGATAAAATTAAAAAAATTTATCAAATTCTAAGTTTTTTATTTTATTTTTTGCAATTTTTCCCTTTTTCCAAAAAATGGTGAAACTTCAAAAAATCCACCGTTTTCTAATGGTTTTATTTTAAGCAAAAACATGTTGGAAAATTCAAACCCAATTTTTATTTTTCTTTTGATTTTTAAAAAGTTGATTTTTCAATAAAATATTTTTTAAAAATAATTCACCAAACAAATTTGTTCATTTTACGAATCATTTAGACCAGTCTAATATATTATTTGGGTTATCAATGGCCGGCCCATATGTGGGTCTGGGACATGAAGTTGGTGGTGAATCAATACAATAAACTGTGGTTAGCACTATCTCAACTTAGTATTAAATTGAATATTCTTAATCTGAAATTTGAATTTTCAATAATTTTAGCTTTATTTTCTGACCCATTCTTGAATAAAATGCAACTCACTGAGCTTGAGCAGATCTGAATATGGTCAACAATTCCTTTTTATTAAATGATCAATAACAAATAAATGTAACACTACAATTTATTTGTTCAACGAACACACAAAGTGTTTTTGCTCTTTAATTTTGAAAAATAATGGAATAAATGCAGCAAAATGCAGAGATGATTTGCAGCAAAAGATGGACGAAAATTGAAGTGAATCTGATCAAATGAGAGCTGGTCTATTTATAGAAGTAATGACACCCTTTAATTTTGAATTGAACAGGTAGCATACATGTTTGAACAGGTACTGTACCTGTTGGGTTTGAATTTAAACAGATAACCGAATCTGTTTGAATTTCAAATCTATTTGGGTGGATTTAAATTTGAACCGAATAGATTCGGTTTTGGACAGATCTAAACCTGTAAAGAATTTCTGAAGAGGTGCAAATAAAATTTTGAATTCAAAAATTAAAATTGGACATAATTTATTCTATCAAAAAAAATAAATAAATTGAATTCAAATATTTTTGGCCAAAAAAGATTAGTATTGGGTCGGACAAGCCCAACCCAACCTCACACCACGCACCCGCGCCCAACCCAGCCCAGCCCAGCCCACCTGACCGGACGGAAAGCGGCGGTGCGCGCGCGTGTGGTGATTTTTGGGTCCAATGGGTCTAGCCCATTTTGCCCATAACCTCCCTCTCTACAAAACTTGGGTACCCCTTAGGGCACACCCCAAGTTCCAATCCCATACCTTATAAACTCATTCAAACCCTCCCACCAAATCAATGTGGGACAAGCCTTATTTAAACCTTTAAGGATTTTCCACCAAAACTCCATTTCCATGGAGCATACTTTGGCTTCAATTTCTCATTCACTCGGTAATGGTTTTGAGCAACCAAATATACCACGTGAATCAAAATGCGGCATAGAACGCGTTACCACTTTGACCCGCCAAATTTGACGCTCGGGTCCCACTTAAATAATAGACCAAAGTTAGGAAAAAACTCTGGTTTTACCCAGAATTTTCCAACCATTTCTAACAATCCCCCACATGAATGGAATTTAATGACAACGGAAATGCAACAATATGCAGACTTCATCGAAAGAGTATAAGTCGAAAATATCTTGCATCAAGATAGGTAGCTTTCGGTCTTGAACCTTCCCTAGTGATATTCTAATTTAAACAACGCTGCTATAGCAATAAGCATACGAATGGATGTTATTCTTTTCACAGGGGATATGTGTCAAAATAGTCCAGACCTTCCTTTTGTCTGTAACCTTTTACTATAAGTCTTGCTTTATACTTGTCTATTGAACCATCTGCCTTCATTTTTCTCTTGAATATCCATTTATATGAGGTTTAGAATTTGGTGGAAGATCCACCAATTCCCAAGTATGATTTTGCATAATGGACTCAATTTCATTATTAATAGCCTCTTTCCACAAAGGTGCTTCAGGACCTATCATTGCTGCCTTAAAGTTTTGAGGTTCATTTTCTAACAGGTATGTTAGGAAATCTGGACTAAAGGATTTTGATGTTCTCTTTGTTGGAATTCACTTAGAGCAAGAATGTGATTAAAACCTATTACATCGAAGTCATCATAATGGTAACCCTACTTAGATGACTGAAGATCCTAAGAACTAAGTTCAAAGGGACAACTAAGTTATGTGTGGCTCGCCAGAAATCACTAAAGGAGTCTATCTCCTATCCATTCCTATGATGAGAGTGATATCTGCAACATGTGTTGTATGTAGGGGACTTAGGGTAAGCTATGCTTTTAATGATCACTTATATCTTGAAAACCCTAGAGGGGTATCTTTCAAGAGGAGTATTTAAGAGACTCGTAATAAGGATCACCTATATGAGTATAAAGGGGCGGCTTCTATGAGAATTGATAAGGCTAAATTTTCTAAAGCACTCATGAAACACCAGGACCTGCCCAAGGCCAAAACGGGCACAACTGTGAGAACTAAACTGTGTCTGGAGATATTATGTGTGAATTCTATTGTCTTGGCTTACGCAAACGGTTGAACAGTTCAAGGCATTACTTCCACTGATTAGCTAGTAAGTCTGATAGACTTTCACTAGGGAAGGTTCAAAGCTAAAAGCTACCTATCCCGATGCAGGATATTTCCTTAAATGTACTCTCTTTTTGTCTACATGTTGTTGCATGTCCTTTCCGTAAATTTCATTCATGTGAGGGATTGTTGGAAAATTTGAATTAAAATTTACTCCAATGATTGTGTCTCTTGAGATGAAAGGGTGTGTCCTTTTGAAGGATCACAACCTTTCTGAAGAGTCACATAGATGTCTATA